CAGAGTTGTGCTCTCATGGTGAATGAACTATGGGGAGAGGCAGCCATAGCCTTTGCAGCCGAGGGATTGGACCAAACACGAAGTTATCAATGGTAAGAGTGATCAGGATCTAGCTAGGTGCTGGTGGTTCATTCCTAAATACCAGTAATCCTAGATACTAGTATCCTTAGTATTTCGTGACTTCAAGCCTCAGTAGTAACACACACACACACACACACACACACACACACACACACACAGAGAGAGAGAGAAATAATTACTAGGATCTTTCAGATTCTTGTTTCCTTCTTGTTCCTAAGGGATGGGTTGTGATTTTATCATGAGAACTCAATCCACCTAAAGAAGGTCATCACTGGTTCTGAGCTCCAGCTCCGTGAGCTCTCCCCAGCATTGGAGAATGCTACATCAGTGGACCACAGCAGTTCATCCGGGAACAAGCACAGGACTCTTCTCCAGGACTGTGGATGCTGGGGGAGAGCCTGACTCCTGTGATGACTGCTAGCTAGGGCCATTTTCACCCTCAGGCTATTTAACAAGGTATGTTTCAGTTCATTCAGAAAATACCATCTACTTTACGCATGGAGGCACAGCTTTGCTTCCCTAATTCCTATCTGTGGCATTAGGTGAGAATGGAAGTACCAAAACTTCATCATTTGTAATAATTATGTCGCCAAGTTTCCTCCTGTTTCTGGCTGAGGGTACAGCTAGGGACCAGTGACTCTATCATCTTTTATTGCTGCTGGTGCTGGGAAGGTATCAAATATCTCAATCCTGGACTATACTTTACTGAGATGAGTGATTTAAACCATAAGCTATGCTGTGAAGCAAAATCAAATTATGTCTTTAGACAACTTGTACATCTCTTTTCTTCCCTGGACTGTGAGGTCTTACACGCTTTAAACCTACTTTCTCTATAAACAATAGAATAGTGACTCATTCTAGAATGTAAGCTTCATTACATTTCCTCTCTTGATTAAATTGCTTCAATCCCATCTTGCTCTCAGTAAAATCCATGAATCTAAGAGCCTCCATGATTTGACCTCTCCTTATCCTGTTAATTTTTTTTTTTTGGTGCTGGCATTATGGCTTGAACTCAGAGCCTGGGAGCTGGTGTCCATACCACTTGAGCCACAGCACCACTTCCATCTCTTTGCTGGCTAGATACTCAGGAGGCTGAGATCTGAGGATCATGGAGATAACAGTCTCACAAACTCTCCTACCAGTTCTCTTTAACCTGTGATCCTCAGTTCTCAGTCTCCTGAGTACCTAGGCTTACAGGCCTGAGCCATCACTGCCTGGCTGAAGCTATTTCTAATGTCATAGAGGTAATAAAATTGTAATGTCTAAACACCTTTCTCAAATGTATTGACTAATACGGGTAAGGAACGGCACATATACATGCTATGCACCATAAAGGACACATGGGAGATACCAATGGTTACCTCAAAATTGTGCAATATGAGGATGATTTTACTTCAAAATTTATACTTTCCCATATTGTTGAAATGTTTTACTGTAATAATTACTAAAAACAATAAAGTAATTTTCTTTTTTATTATGTATGTGTTTATATGTGTGTGTGTGTATGTGTATAGCTAGCTAAGCCATATGCCACTCATCTATATCAACATGCAGCAAGACACAGGGTTTCAGCCCAGGACCAGAGCTGCCTATGTGACTCTGACTGTGACTAAGTGATCCAGTACCTCTAAGCTAGTTCACCAGTCTGTAGGGTAACTGAGGAACTTCCCAAAGCTCAGACAAAGACCTGAAGTCTTCCAGTCTCCCTTCAACAAGCAACAGCAGGATATAGAAGATTCTAGGCTCTTGTTGGCTTGCAATTTGATGATGACTTGCCCTGATGCTGGTCACATAAGTAAGACTTGCTAGCATCTTCCTGTTCACTCCAGCTCTCATCCTACTGTCCTGAATCTTCACCACTTACCCTCCCCATGCAACTCTCTGGCCTGATGTGTCCAGCTCTCAACCGAACCAGGCAGCTGAAGGACAGAATGTGAAACTCCAACTTCAAATCATTCTCTTGCACCACACTTGAAGAGTCTCCAGCCCCACCAAATGCCGCAGATTGGCAGGGATTTGCCATTGGAGAAAGCCAGACAAAATCTTCCTGATCTCTTACATGCACAGAAGATTACCACGCAAGTAGCAGAAAACAAAGGAGTCAAAGAAAATCCATCCCTCCACAGTTGAACCCCTAAGAGCCCAGATTTTATTACTCTGCAGAGGACTTCTGGGATCTCTGCTTGGGGGGTGGCAGAAGGAAAGAGCAGGACTAGTCAGGCACCTGGGGAGAGACGGCTTCTGAGAGTTGTCCTAGGCTTCTTAGAACTCCCTCAACCCCCCCCCACTCCTGAATGACAGACCCCTAGTTTTCTATAAGATTTACCCCTGACATCTTCCTGCAAAGATCCTTGTCTGAACTCACAACTCATGCCCACCCTGGCTCAGTGCTGTTCCTTGATGGTGCCCCGTGACTGGGCACATGGCTACCTTTGTACCCACTACACAAGAAGGCAGCCTGGCTCAGTCTTTCCTTACCACACACCCATCTCAGCACTGACTTCAGGCTCCTGAGATTCATGCCAAACTGGGGGACAGCAGTAGTGAGACACACCAGCTGACAGAAGTTACTTTAGTGGGAAGCAGAGGTCTGGGGAAAAAGCTGTTGAGGGTCAGGATGGGAGAGAGCCAACCAGCTGTCACCCTATGACTCTCTCCTTGGTCTGCTGTTTCTCAGAGCATTATCTTCTCTTTCCCCAGATGGCTGCTTCCCCTTTCTGCCGTCTACATTGGATAATGAAGCACCTTAGGAGCATAGTTCCAGGGGAACTGTCCTCCAGGGAAGCCTGAGCTTCTTCCTGCATCCAAAGCAATGAAAGGAATCTTCGCCATACAGTGGAAAATGGGTGAGTCCCTACCAGAAACTCAGAACTAGATTATTGTTCTTGATTCCAAAGCACAGGAGGGTGGGACCACAGCTCTTTCTTTTCCTTCACCTTATTCCTTACAGCAGAGCCAGTGGACCTCTCTTAAAATGCTCCTGTCAGCGAGTAAGTGTGAAACCTGAGAAAGTGTAGATAGTTTCATTGTAACAACACCCCACTAGGAAAGAAAGGTCTCCTGGGACAAGACCCCATACTTGCTATGGGTACTTACCAATTCTATCTTAAAAAATACAATATAAGTCATGTACTGATGGCTCACACCTATCATCCTAGCTACTTAGGAGGCTGAGATTGGAGGATCATGGTTCAAAGTTAGCCTAGGAAGAAAAGTCCATGAAACTCTTATCTCCCATTAATCAGAAAAATGGCAGAAGCGATTCAAGTGGTGGAGTGTCAGCCTTGAGTGAAAAATCTAAGCCAAATTGCAGGTGCCTGACTTCAAGGCCTACTTGGGCACACTCACACGCATACCCACACTAATAGAGTAATTGTGATATAGATAAGTATTGGAGGTGTTGGCTTTGTTGGTCATTGATATTTCAAGAATATAATGAGTCTACAGGAGAGCCAAAAGTGAAGAAAATCAAGATATGAAGGAAAACAATGTGCACTAAAAGTAATATTATGTGCAAATAAACAGAGATCCAGTCATTCTTACTATAGACAATGAAACAGAAGGTGACAGAAGCCTTCTGTGGCACTTTTTCCTTTGAATGCAACCTATAGAAAGTAAGGTTTATCTCACATTTAAATGGGTAAATAGTTGGTAAATAATCTGGATTGCATTTATAACATTCCATGTACAGATGTGAAAAATGGGACCAGGAAAATGGAGGGATGTTTAGGGCTGGAAGAGATGTGGGACAATGGTGGAAGGGGTAACATTGATCAAGATGCATTGTACTCAGAAATTGACCTGTTGAACTGAAACCCCTTTGTACAACTACTCAAAGGCAGTAAAGCAATGACAGTAACAAAAATAAATAAAAGGATGAACACACAAAAGAAGAGTGTCAAAAGTTGGTGGAATTTGTTGGACTATGTCAGACTCACAAAGTCAACTCCCCCAGCCTTTGTAACCAAGAAAATTATGCAGAATCCAGACCTCAAAATGCAGTTTCATTAATTATATATCACTAAATACAAAGGTGTCCTGTTTTCCAGTCATTTATCAAACACACTAAGGCCAACCAAAAAAAAAAAAAAAAGAGGAAATGGAACATTAGCAGCAAGCTCCTTAAAGTGCAATTTCCTAGAAGAGAAATTTATGCCCTGTACTTATTCTCCATTAGAGTACGTCTAACGCCTTTTATTAGTGTATTTATCAACACAGCCCTGGTCTCAGACCAGCTGTGCGAAAGGCAGGTCATCAGAGGGTTTCCCCTGGAGAGTTTTGCTCCTGGTTCTGTTTGTGTTCTCTACATCATAACAGAGTTAACACAAGCAGTCACGCTGCATTTGGCTGGAGGTTTTGAGGGTTTCCCCAGAAGGCAATTCACCCAGCAAGCCCCAAGGGTTCTCTAGATATAAAGTGAACATCTAAAATGTACTTAGAAATGAAATGATTTTCTGTTTGTCGTAGGAGGTTTGTGATTGCCTTTCAAAGAGCATTGCTTTTCTTGCCTTTATGACCAAGTTCAATTTCTTATTTAGTGGTGTAATAAAGTTGCAATTTAGGACTTGGCAGCCAGGGCTTTCTGATCAATGAGCAAAACTATCCCTCATCTACCGTGGAAGGGGCACTGAGCCTCATCCCTGATCAACTCCATTCAGCACCAAGATATCAGCCATGGGTCCCCCCCACAACCCAAACCACCCTGTTTCCCCACCTGCCCATCCAGTTAGCTCCCTCCTTGTCTTTGCAAAAGACAACACAAGCCCTAGTCTGGTCCTTCTCTATCTCCCTATAGGCCTTTCTTTCTGTGACTGGCAGGACTCTAACAATATCAGGTTGAAATTAAATGCATCTGACATTTGTTTGGCAGGTTGCACTGGGGGCTGGGATGGGGCAAAGTTGGAGAAAGAACATCTTACCTGGTTTTTAGGATATTCAGAAACTGCAAAATTTCTGAAAACTGTATCAGTCTGAGCGCTCGTAAAAATCTCAAACCTGAAAAGAGAAATGAGACAGAGCTGCATTATTTGCGATGTGTGGTTTTCATGTCCACGGTCTGCCATTCGGGTGGGAGGGGTAAGGAGTCCGTGCAGAAGACAAACAGCCTGGTACCTGGGACACATTCCTTCATGCTGGTCCTTGACTGCTTTAATTTTGGCAAGTAAACTGGCTTTCTCATCAAAGGGAGTCTGTTTGGAGGCACTTACAGGAGAAAGGCCCGAGGAGGGCTCAGGTTAATGGCTTCCTTCTCCTTTGGTGAGCTGTGATTTGAGCACTGTTTCTGAGTCACCTGGAGGTCTGACAGGATATTATCTCTGAAGAATACTGGGAATTGTGACTGCTCAATGTAACCCTTGTGCTAAAAGCAGATTACGACTAAATCGGATCACCCACGTCTTTGCTTGGAATTTTTTCATCTTTATTTTCAGCCCTCTAAAATGAGGAATAAGGACCATAACATTACCTAGTTTTTCTGTAAGTTTGTATTTTCCTCCAAAAGAAAAGAGAGAGAGAGAGGTAAGATCCCACAACTTAAATAATAACATTTTTACTAATGTAAGGATGAAGATTTGTACTTTTAAATCCATTTAATCCTCTCTTGCATGAAAGCATTTGTAGCTTTAGGTGGGAAAGAGAGAAAGACAAAGAGACAGAGAGAGACAGACAGACAGACAAACAGACAGATACAGAGTCAGAAAAGGCAAGCACAATTAGGGAACTTTGTAAAGTACAAAGTATTATTGTTTGCATAGCCAAGAGTAAACAATTTTTATTGCAGTCAAAGTCATGACTCCAAAACCTTTGAGGTCCACTGTGGGCCTAACACCTTGCATATCACATGGGAGAATGTGTATGTCCAAATTGCTGACTACTTAGCATCAAGGCACATTGAATATTACACCCACCCCCAAGGCAATTTTGATGTTTCCAGAAGCATTTCATAAAATGTTCCCCCTCCTCAGGTGCCAGATATGGAACTAGGTTGCTAGACAGACAGCTTCACCCCATGCAGTGCATGATGGGGAATGTAATGCATGATGGGAAGAAGCACTAAGAGTTCACAGGGACCGTAGGATGAAATTCCTTCCCTTCTGCTTGAACAAGGAGTCTTCTAATTGGTCCACAGTGGAACTATTTTGGAAATAAAGAAGACCCAACTTGAAGCTTGGGGATAACGAGAGAGGGAGAAAATGTAAGTGACTTAAAAGTATGATTTCTCATCTGAAAAAGAGTATGTTTTCTTGGGCACAAGATGATTCCAGAAAACATTTGCCTTCTATGCTAAATAGTATGTAACTTTAATTAAACCAGAAAATACACAGATGAGAGTGGATACTGATGAAACAAAGGAGCCATAGGCTAAAATAATAGTCACAGAAAAAGAAAAACAGATGAAAAACCAATTTAACACTGCCCAAGCCCAGCTTGAACAGGGTACAAAACTGAGTTGAGGAAATCTCATAAAACAGAGAAAGTAAGGAAAAGGAGGGGAAAAAGTGAGGTAACTTTAAAGAAAAAAAAAGACAGAAATGGAACAGAGATCCAACCTTTGAATAAAATGCATTTCAAAGGGAAGTACAGACAATGCCTACATCATAAGCAGTGACCAGACAGAATAGCAAAGAATATTCCAGATATGAAAAAATGACTCTAGATTAAAAGATAAAATGAAATATGGTCTTAGAGACTAAGGCTAAGATAGTGCTAGTTTTGGTCAACTTTCAACTAGTAAAGAGTAAAGTTAAAGAATGATGGGAAGAAGTACTAGGAATTCACCAGGAACTCCAGGATAAAGTTCCTTTCCTTCTACTTGAACAAGTCTTTTAAGTGGTCCACAGTGGAACTATTTTGGAAATAAGGCAGACTCAACTTGAAACTTAAGGATGAGGAGCTGATAAATAAAGGAAGAGGGAGAAAAATGTCAACGACTTCAAAGGATAATTTCTCATCTGAAAAGAATATGCCTTCCTGAACACAAGATTATTCCAGAAAACATTATAGTACAATATTTACCAGTAAGGCAGTTCATGTAGCTTAAATGTTAAATAATGTTATGATCTAGATCTTAAATATTCCCCAAGATTCATGTGGTGAAGTGTATAGTCTCTAACCTGTGAAAGGTGCTGGAAACTTTAAGAGGTGGGGCCTAGTGGGAGAAAGTTAGATCATTGGGGGTGTGTCCTTACAGGGGTGCTGAGATCTCCTCCCCACTTTTCTCTTTTCTAGTCCTAGGCTTGAACTCTGGGCCTGGACACTATCCCTGAGCTTCTTTTGCTCAAGGCAAGTGCTCTATTACTTGAGGAACAATGTCACTTCCAGCTTTTTTTTTTTTTTTAGTAGTTTATTGGATAGAAGAGTCTCACAGAGTTTCCTGCTTAGGCTAGCTTTGAACTGCAATCCTTAGATCTCAGCTTCTTGAGTGACTAATATTAAAGGCATGAGCCCCTGGCACCCATCTCCCATGCTTTCTTTTGTGCTTCCCTACCACCATGGTGAACAGCTTTGCTGGACTACACATTGCCCACCATGCTACTCAGTCCTGCCACAGGCCCAAGTAACCGTAAACCAAATGTTCTGAAACTTGAGCCCAAATACAAACTTCCTCCATGTACATCATGTATCCCAGGTCACATAGGTATTTATTTACCACTTGTTTATTTTGTCACAGCATTGGGAACCTGATTGACACAAAGAATAATTGGGACGATATTTAATTTTCAGTCTGTCCCGAGACTTCTGTATCTAGTCAAGTGGTCATTCAGGATAAAACAACAACAATAATTTTTATTTTTGAAAGTTCCAACTTCTAACAAATGTAGTGTTTCTCAGTTTGTGCAAAAGAATTTTTTTTACAAGGAGTTTGAAAAGATTCACTGAATCAGAATGGGGATCTAGGGATCATGGGCCGGGAAGAGTATTTTTGACAGTTTCTACTGAAGCCTCCAGTCCACCAGGTTATCTCCTACCAAGAAGGTGGTTGCTTGTTTCTGTGAGATAAATTAAAGAGTTTAAAATGAATTTAAAGGTTGGAAGTTAAGACATGAGCCATTAATGAGCATTGCAGATTTGCACTATAGCATAGCTGTGCTGTATGAACACCATCCAACCCTGGGGCTTGGATTCAGGGCCTGGGCACTGTCCCCAAACTTTTTGGCTCAAGGCTAGTGCTCTACCACTTGAGCTATAGCTCCACTTCTAGATTTTTGGAAGTCAGTTGGAGATAAGAGTCTCACTGACTTTCCTGCCTGGGCTAGCTTTGAAACACAAACCTCAAATCTCAGCCTCTTGAGTAGCTAGGATAACAGGTGTGAACCTCTGGCATTTGGCCTTAGCACAACATTCTTAAGGTTTATGATGCATCTTGTCAAAATGTCTGAGCAATCTGCCTTTTTAATTAGCATGTAAGTTGAATTGCTGGGGGGGGGCACACACATTCCTCACTTCACTGAGTACTGTGACAAAGGGGCAGAGGAAGGGAGGAGAATAGAAGAAAGGGAGGGAGGAAGGGAGGATGAGAAGGAACAGAAGGAAGGAGGCTGAGAGTGAGAGAAGGAGGGAGGGAGACAGAAAGGGAAGAAGAGAGGAAAGGAAGAAATATGAGAGGAGGCAGGAAGGGAGGGAAGGAGGGAAAGCTGAGGGGGAAAAGGAGTTAAGCAAAAGCCCAAACATAATACCCCCACCCAAGAAAAACTCATTGTTTTTTATTTTTGTTTTTATTTCTTTATGTTAACAAATGAAGTTAGGTATTTTTTCATATAATCATGACTCACTTTACTTTCTTTAAAGAGCTTTATAATAGCACTAACCAATTTGCCTGCAAGTTCATTTTATTCTTAGTAGTATATTCAAGTGCTTTTATAAGAGTATTATATAGTATATATTATTCCCCAAAGTTTATCATTCATCTTTCAATATTACTTACGGGTTTATTTTTCCCTTCTTTGTAAGTCTACAATTTTGCTTAAGTTCCTCCCCCCCAATTCTAAAAGTTATCACATATTCAAATGTATCAGTCATTTCACCATTGTTTTTCATTCTTACTTGTGCTGGTATTGGGGCTTGAACTTAGGGCCTTGTGCTCTCACTTGGCTTTTTCACACTCACGGCCAGTGCTCTAACAACTTGAGCCACAGCTCTACTTTTGGTTTTCTTTTGGTTAACTGGAGATATGAAGACCCCTGCTGGCTGTAAATCCAATCCTCAGATCTCAGCCTCCTAAGTAGTTAGCATACAGGTGTGAGCCACTGGATCGTGGCTTATTTCTTCTTCTTTATTTTTAATAACTCAAAAGACTATTCCCACCATTCTGATTTCTTTTATTGCATCTGCATTTTTCCTTCCTAGTCATAGGGCAGTGTTGCTAAACTGCCACTGTATATTAGGTACATTTAAGCCTTCTGTGAACCTTCCAGAACTGTTGACATGTGGGTCTCAACCCCTATCCCATCCACTGACTTATGGATCTGGCATCCAGCCAGGAAGAGAGAGCCTCAAAACTCGGTGGACACCAAAGTGGAGGAGCATTGCAAACTATTTTTCCAAGTGGACGGATCGTAAATATTTTAGGTTCTATTGCAAGGACTCAGTTTGCTTAAAGGGCATGCAAACAAACAGGTGTGCCTAATTCCAGTGAAAGTTTCTTTGTATTAACAGGCCAAGGGAAACTAATGGTCTACATCTGCCTTGGCAGCTACTAGCCCAGTGTACACAGAATTCCTGAGCTCTGTAAGCATCCGGGTTCTGTCTGAGAGGGTCTCAGATAGGGTGGGCCACTCTGCACCTGGAACAAGCAGTAAGTTGTAACTGGGGCCACCAACTGCACTTGGAGAAAGCAAGGCTGCAGGTCTGTGATTTCCAGACATGACTACTACAGCGGCAGCCAGCTGGGTATTTTTTAACTGCATGGATACCGCCTCCTAGCCCTAGGTATCCTGCTTTAATTACTCAGGGGATAACTTGTGCACTGGAATCATTAAAAAAAATCCCAATCTTCC